TGGAAAGACGTGGAAAGGTGGATGCACAAGATGATCGGTGGTTCGAGTTTATGCTTTTCACAATCCCTTACAGCAGCGCAGCAGCAGCAGGTAAGCATTTTACCGATCGCTTTCGTATTCTTAGTAATCAATATGTTTTTATTACCCGAAAATTATTATTGATGTACTAATGTACCGGATTCATGAGATTGCTGTAAAAGGTCCAAACAAAATTACGCTTTTATGCCGATCTTTATGAATTTGCTGCCGTTTTGTGTGAATGAGGGCGCTTACGGTTACATCGCCTACAAGATGCATACGAAAGCGTTGGTATCCACCGCAGTAGACGTACCTATGTTTAATTAATTCAGGCTGCTTTCAACGTGAACTTATAGAATATGACGTGAAGTAGGTGAGAGCTCTGTTACCACGGTACTTACAAATTACGTACAATGCCTCCGTGATTGAGCACAAGCGGAGTATGTAATCAGCTGCAACCGGAGATGCAAGTGAAGACTGCAGCTTCGTTGTGGCATACACTGCCATACAGACGTTGCTGAAGTCGGAAACACATATAGGAAACCTATGTAATCCATCGTGCTGTCGGCTTTGTGCTTCTTTTATATTACCCTTAAAAAACCTTAAAACTTTAAAAAATCTTTTGTGGTAACCTTTAAAAGCTTTGCATCTAATGCTTATTTGCCTTTGAAAATGCGATAGGCGCACGTACCGAGCAGCCGTAGAGTAAAGGGATGTTTTCTAATATATTATGTGGTATTTGTCAATGCTTACTGGTGAACTGTTATAATACATCAGGTGGGCGACCTCTCTGTTTTATTTTCTTTTTGTTTCGAAGAAATCCCACACGATGATTCTAGACATAAGAAACCATAAGAAAACAAAGAAAAATATAAATAAAATTGAACAAATAAAATCGACGATTTTCCAGACGTTTTTCCTAACGTTGCTGGGTAGGTGATTTTTTGAATCCTCGTGCACGCTAACGCGCTACGATACAGATCCCAATTTCCTCGCATCTAATATGATGACACGGCAGAAATTACAGCTCTTTCCCTGGAATTTTTGCATTTTCTCTGCGTTTTCTTTATTTACTTCTCGGTTTCGACAAACGTCTTCATTTTTTAGAAGTGCCTCGCTTGCGTAAACTCGATCGTACTGAGGCGGTGCGCTTGCCGTCTGAATAGATCGATAGTGAAATTTGACGCAACGCAACAATTAAATTAGCAGTTGACGCAACAATTAAATTAGCAGTATAAGTTTAGAACATAAGATTAATCAAAAAAGCGAAGTTATCCAGTTGCAGTCAAGCGGCTTGCGGGCAACCCATTACTTCTTGGTTGCATAGTTCTGGCACAAGCCGTCACCATCTTATAAACGCGAACAAAAACCCAATGGCACGTTTTGCTGTACGGCTCGTGCTGCCACCGTAGTGTACATACGCTATTTTCGATTTCTGCAGTGTAATGTTTTTATGTGGTTTTCGGGGTCTTAGTGCCCAGAAAAGTGCGTAAAAGTTTAAACGCAACGCGAGTGAGCTGGCCACCCAATTCCGTGTGAGTCGCACGCAAAGCGAGCGGCCAAAAATGCGGTACAATGGGCCTATCAACGGCTGATGGGGTCAAATAATAATTAAATATTGCGGCAACTGTAAGTACAACAATGTACAAGTATAAAAAGAAAGAATTCCACTAAGTTTTGAAGTTGTTGTGAAGTCTTCAGTACAACAAAAGCGCACGACAAAACTTCGCGCAAAACCGTGCGGTGTATTACGCTTCACTGTTTTCCCGGTCGAAAGTTTCTTTGTCGTTCGTGTGTATCTGTAAGTTGACAGAGACACACGAAAAACAGACTGTATGCAAAAATAAATAAAATCTCGGGCTATAAAAAAAACAATAAACCATGGCATAACGAATTTGAAAAATGGCTGTCGTTCACTTTATTTAAAACTGTGTGAAATTTATATCAGACGGCAGTCACGGCACTTACAGAATTACCACTGCACTACGAAAACCCTTGTTATCCATCACCGGGACGATCAAATAGGTAGTACGATTTAGCCAATTCGTTCGGCCCATTAATCTTTCTATCTTATTTAATAAATAAAATTTAGTAATTTGTTGACATTCTGTGATGTGGATCAGCACGCCTCCTCAGTAGCCTCCTCGTCCTTTTAGTTTTTGTTGCTTCTTCTGTGTAGTTTCACAGACACTACTTATACGCCAATATACATAACTAGGAAAAACAAGTACCCATCTCCTAGAAAACAGTAAAAAATGCAATATAAAATAATGTGCTTGTTACGCCGGTTTACAAGGCTTTGCTAAGTGCCGCATTTTTCCAATATACGAGGGGATGACGACATCGTATTTCAGCACTCCTGTACTTGCTGCTGTCAGCCGGCTGGAATAAGGCGTTACGGCAGTACATACGGTTAAATCAGGCGCGGTACATAAGCACCACATTTAGCCACAACGTCATACTCCAGCCGGCTGACAGCAGCAGGTACAGGAGTGCTGAAATGCGCAACCTTCATCCGCTCGTACTTTAGGCTGCGCAAAAATCCTGTAAACCGTAAGTGACATGCCTTGTGTACTGGAAATTTTTAATCACGAAATCCACAGTATTTATCGACCCTTCAAGCAATTTTTGTATTTAAGGACTCGGTAATGAAAAGCTCGGTATGGCTGCTATTACTTTTATTTAAATTTGTTGTTAAAAAGCGCATTTTTCTGGTCGTATGCGTCGCATTATGATTTAAAACAACTTACAAAAAAATAGAAGATTTTCCAAGCCAGCGGCATGACAATCCAGCCACCAATTCCTATCGGTATCCAGTCTCCGTAGTCCCCTTATTCTGCTGTCTTAACCTTTTGGTCAGGCAGTGTGTGCAAAATCAGGAAACGTGTGGATTGGATGTGATTTGGAACTCTAAAAGAAATATATTGGTAATGGACTAATCAGTGTTAACAAAACACAACTACTTCGAAAGCCATTCAATGGTCGTTTTGTGGCAAGCATTGTGCAACGTTTGCGCATTTCTACCATTAATTAGCCACCGTTCAATCAGTTCGATCCACTTCCTACGTCCAACTTCTACTTTACAGTTTACACCTGTTTCGTCGACTCACTAGTCGCAACGGCTAACATTTAACAACATTTAAACAATGCGAAATATTTCGGTTAGAGACTAAATGTTTCTCAACCGATTTTTGATGAAGCCAGTACATCTTATGAGCTCGTTTGTTTTTCGGTGTCCTACCGTAAATGTCAATATAATTTTACTGGTGCACTGTGTTGAGCTCGCCTTGCAGAATAATAAAACACTAAGGCCTTGTCCCGAATTCAAAGCGAATCTCGCTATGGTACGGTTGCTCAACCGCACGAGGTGGCTGTATGCAGTGGCCACGCCTACAGATACGGTACGCGAAGCCACCTCGCGAGGTGGAGTTGCTGTATCGCAACGAGATTCGCTTTGAATTCGGGACGAGGCCTAAAAACTGCAGCATAGGATAACTTACGAATGTCAGAAACCGCCTCTGAATCGAAAACCGGCATTGTAAAAAAGGGAGCTCCAAAAGGAAGTTTCCCTGTTTCTCCTCCGTGCAGTTCCAAGCAATATGGAATTGCGTATAATAATTCTAGTCACATAACTTTTTGTATAAGTTTGCTTTTACAGTATAGAGTTTTGGTCGAATTTTTGACTTTAAATCCAGCACAATCGATGCCTGGTCATTCAAAAATTTGACCATGGTGTTCGTGAAATTAAAAAAAATACCAAATATATAATTTCTTAAATCGCAGATTACGGCCGATCAGACAGATTGTCGCACCTTTCAGAGATTATTAAGCGCCTAATGGTGGGCCACTGCTCTACGATAGTCACCATATGCACAAGTAATTATGGAAAGATAATGGTTGCAAACTGGTTCTTTGGTGACTGCGGTTGCAAAAGTGTTTAGTAATCAAAGACAAAAATAACGCTCTTCAGCTTTAAGTAAGCTGTCCGAGGAAAGTTCCCACTATTAGCAATAATAATTATTTATATAGAGTACAGAAAATTCCAAAATCACTTGAAATTAACTTACCGGTGAAAAAACATATCCCGATCCATAGGAACTAAAATTCAGATTACTGAAAACATCGAAAACATTTTGACCTTCGCACTTAATTTGCTGAAAAATGAAAAACCTTCCAATATTCTGTCATGACAACACATCATTTCACTTTTAACTTCCTCCAGTTGCCGGGAAAACGTTACACAAAATACACGAAAAAGAGGCATAATTATTCGCTTTCCCTCTGGATAGTCATATTTCCGTCGCCCTTCGACACCAATTATCTTTGCCAACTAGACTTGTGGGATATACACCACGTTCACGCCAAGTTGGCGGTGTCCATTTAAAAAATTCCCATGAACCACTAGACGATTTATTTAACTTTTTTAAACTTCTATATGAATACTGAATCTATCGAACACCATTTGCAACTGCGGTTTCCAAGATTCGAGCTAGTAACGAATGACAGGAATTTTAAAACTAGAGCAGACCACTTCCAAAATGCGCTGCAGTCCAGCTATCGCGGTTTCGTCCCTCCCACATAAAATTCGTTTTAAATACCCGTTTATGACGTATTCCAAGGACGTAAGTCTGTCGACTTGGCCATCCATCGGCCCTTCGGAGTGCACTGTACACCATTAATTTGATGCCACTCCTGGGTCAGGGCACCGGTAGAACGGTGGGCGTGGCCAAACTGTAGGACGACCTCCTTCGCGAGGTCACCATGAAGGCGAGGGAAGTCCTCCTTGAACATCCCTCGTGAAAATGTATAAGTTTTTTTGTAACAATCTTTGAACAGCGGCTGTACCTTTTTGTGCCGTAAAAGTTAGTGTAGAACTTATAATTCCCAACTTAATTTGGAACTCGTTTTTAGAAGTTTCATTGTACTGTATTCAGAACTTTTGCTTTATCATTGTCAGAAACTTTATTGCAACTTTTGCCGCACATTACTCGTAATTTTGGACATACTTCAATTCAACGCACAAAAGATGGCACTGAAATTACAGAAAAAAAACCACAAATAAACATCAAACTATCGTCTGAGTGCTGCACTTGCTGTTTTAAAACACAGAAATTTAGAAAGAAAGAATATACTGCAAAATTCAAAAATTAAACCACAAAAAGCCTGTTTCGGTTCCGGAGTCGACTCCAGTCCATCAAATGGGCAATGAAGTCCGGAAGTTTCCTAAAAAACGGGAAAATATTTACCACAAATTAATAATTTTGGTCTGCACGTACACAAATTCAGTTACATAACAATTAACTCCACAGCAACTTACTCAATTTACTCAACGTCTAAATCCAGTTTGGAGCTCACCTTTGTTTAGACTGGCAGTGTGCTTCACAGCTCCATCTAAAGACCCAGTGTGCGCTCGTGTGCGTTCGCAACGAAGGTGCCAACAAGTAATGCTTAACGCGTACGAAGGGGAAGAGAGATCGTTCCATGAAGTCGTCTCCAAAAATAACCGAAGAACCTGTTACAAAATACCATAAAATTAGCTTGACTGCCTTTCAGACTGCCAAGTAGCACAGTCAATTTTTAAAACTAGAACGTGTAAAGGGATTTTCATAAGGATGTGAGCAAATCAAAGAGAGTCGACTCCGTCCAGCGTAAAAGATGAAAAATTTAAATCGCTCTTTTTTAAAACTTTCCAAATTTTCAATTTTTCTACGCTTACTAGAACGAAGTCGACCCCAAAATCATATGGCTGCGTTCCATATAACGTTTTATTACCAGTCATCACACATGTAACAGAATGATTGGGAATCTACTATCAAGGCAGGTTCATCCAACAACCCAGCTGCAGGCTCCTCATCCAGCACAGACACTCTCAACGGCGATTCAGCTCGTAGACCCGTGAAGAAGCAAGTCTTAACCTGATACTGCTTTCTGACTCAATGTTTCAAAATTCAGAAAGCTACAAATTATGTCTGGTTTCAGACCTTGTCATTTTCTACTCAACCCTTAAAATCCAACCGAAGTGCAGTTAAAACTAAAAAGTGAAACAAACTGATTCCTACAAGTCACAAGTGTGTTGAATTTCAACGGCTCGACTGCGTTATTAGCGAGCTGAGCTATGTTTACGAGCTCGAGCGTGCGCCCTTATTGCGGCCGCCACCTCGTGGGGTAACATGTGTACCTTTCACATAGCTGCTTTGTGTACTGCGGCTACTGCCACAAAATGTATTGCTATTTTTGTAATATTTTGTTGTTATAAAATTTTATTGCAGTACGGCGTCTTATTTATTTTAGTTGCTAGTAATTAAAAGTCACATTGGTTAATTTTGTTTTACGATGCCACCGAATTACTTAATTCAATGTTTGTTATCTGTATGAACCACAGAAATACAAAATGAAGTGGAATATGTATTGTATACATACATGTGCAATTACTAATAAAAAAATTAATCATGTTTTAATATTTTAAACCTACATAGCATGAAATGTTTTTGTGCATTTGCGCTGTATAAAGTAGCAATGCACTATGCAGTTACGCACTAATATGCAGTGATGCAACTTACGTCAATTGGTGGCTGCTTATTACTGCTTAAGATTACAGAAAATAAATTACAAACCTTGCGTGACTGTGCGTCAGTGCTGTAATACGAGTATGTAACTTTGACCAACTTGAAGTATTCCGTAAGTTATATGAAAGGTCCAAGTTATAATCGGCTGTCATGAAAACTTTTTTGTAAGTTTAGCGTAACTTTACAAGTACTTCTTTTGGTAACTGGATGTTTTTAGTAACTTTTATTTTCACGAGGGCATGCACCACAAAATACGGTTCACGAGGTGTTGCACGTCCACTTTTTTGCTACCATCTTCAGCATAATCGCGCAAACCCTCCATTGTAACAGTTTTCAATGGACACCATCCCTTTTTTCAACAAGCGCTTTGTTTTGGCGAAAAAAAAACGATTTCGCTCCCTTAGGCGTTTTGCAGGTTTGGTAGAGCTTTAGTTTTTGTTCACGAAGCACTCTCTTGGGGGTCCTCAAACTGATCTCAATTCCAAGCGCCTAAAATCGTTCCTGAATTTCTGGCTGAATTAAATTGTGTCTCAGCACTGCCATGACTTGTTCCATGATCCATCGGTGCCTTTGCTTCGGAAGGTGTTTCTTGTGACACCCCAACCGAAAATCCATTACAATTTTGTTCAAATTAAAACATTAATTTGTGCAAGTTTTTAATGCACCCTTCCTGCATTTAGCAAGTAACGGTCACGCTTTTTGCGAAATCATTTGGAAACAAGCCATAAAGGTCATCCATTTCCTTGAATAACTGAAACTCGGGTGCCGAATGCTAATTAGCAGCTTAATAAACGGGTCCAGTGAAATACCCAGAATATAATATATCTAGAAAATTACTGCATTCGAAAAAGACGACAATGTCCGCCGGACGAATGGTTCTACACTTACATTACGGCAAAGGCGCTTGAACGATGCGTGGTTTATGTAGTGCAATGGCTACTGGAGCCATCCACCTGGATGATGAGTAACAGAGTAACAATGATTTATCAAGCAGTAGCGTTACCAACTTTTATCGGTTTATAATTTATTTTTCTCGTTACATTATTGACGAAGCCAGTCACCAGTCGATACCAACTGCGATGCGCCAATGGCCCGCAGGGGGTAAAACGTGGCAGTGGCGCCTGCCAGTGGCACTGCCGATGGCATGGCGAGCGATAAAACCTGGAGGCTTTGGCAACTGGCAAGCGACAAAACCTGGCAGATGCCACATAAAATGTGGCACTGCGTATAAGAAGCGGGTTTCAAATGGTTAGTCTGACTAAACTTAATTTTATGAAAATATTGCTAGCACCCAATCGATTTAACATGTAAGCGTTAACAACACTGGCCATGCACGAAGTTCAAGAGTAAGCGCCGGCATAAAACTTTCAAAAGGTCGCTTCGTATTTTGCGCAGAGTTTCAACAATAGAAAAGAATGATAAGGCATGCTATAAAGACTCCTTAGAAACGCCGACTACGAAAACCTATAGGCAACTTTCGCAGGCGCTTGTAAATGGATTGATTATGATTAATACGAAAAACTGCTTAAAAGTTTTTGAAATTTCGCATGCAGGTATAAATGTGATAAACTTACGAGCAACGTGTGCTTTGATAAGCCAAAGGTTAGGATCGAATCTATCTGCATCTAATTTAACTAGTTCGTCTTCACTGTGCACAGCTTGCACTAACGGAACCGAGCTCTGCATTGGTACAACAGCAAAACTATCCGTACACGTCACACTTCCGCTTGCTGGTCGTAACAACGCATCCGCTGGCGCGAGAATAAATTTTCTACAGGCGCATGCGCCGGCCTGAATAACAAATAATCTTGCAGAATTACTACACTTATTGAGAAAATAGTAACCAAGTACAGAGTGCGCAGCTATGACAATAAGCCAAATGCCGGCAAAATCGCATAATATAGCTGTTATTTGTTGCGCCGTGCACGGAATAACGTTTTAAGAAAAAACGTGAGCCATTTGTATTATTAGGAAATATCATTTGGATTTGCAACACATCTAACATGGCACAGACAGTAAATAACCAGGCAAACTCTTATGGGTGAATACTTGTACATAGTGGTTTCATTTGTGAAGATCGCTACTTCTACCGTAAGTTAGCACCAGCTATAAAGTATCTGTAAATTAATTTGCCAAACCCGAAGCACCGTTAGCTTAATTTTAGGAAAACAATTGGCAACGTAGAAGTTCAGTGCACTACTCCCACTGCAGTAAGCAACAAAGCAGTCACACAGTCACTTCGATAAATAGTACTGTATTCTCACGATCGATCAAATTTAAATTTGTAACAAAGTTACTCTACAGTAAAGGAAATTCAGGGATGAATACTCAGTTCATGCTGTACCTACAACGTTGTCGTTTTCATGCTGTACAACAATAATTATTGACGTTGATAATAATAATTACTACGTACCTACATATATCGTAGTCAGAATAATTTGTGTGCAGCATTTACCTACGTGTACATACGTGCCCATAATTTCCATCGCACACAGGGACAGGATAGGATGTAAGTTCACGGGTTAGTTCAAACTCCATACGGCGACGCGCCACAATACTATTATTTTACACTCTACAGTCTACATACAGGTATTTTGCATGGTTGATGCTTGCCAAATGTGGATCTACATAAATATTAAAATATCGATTTAAGTTATAAACAATAACTTTTGTCCTTTATTATCTCTTTAGATATTGAGAAAAGTAAATTTGCCACTGTAGTCTGTAGACACAGTAAAGCGGCAAATTCATAGCGAAAACTTCCCGCTGTAAAAACGGGCTATCTGCACCTTACGATGAAAATTACGGGACAAGCTTGTAGAACTTTAAAGCCATAATTAAATGTAACTGCAACAACTTATAGGATGAGCTAGATTGACCGCGCGCAAACTGTAATCAAAAAATCACATTTATAACGATACTAATACACTGAATACCGTTAGGGAAAAATTTCTGCAAAATGAAACCACGCTTTTGTAAGACGCTTAACAGTCTTGTTTAGGGCAGGGTGTAAAACCTGGCACTGGCAAGTGCCTCTGGCGTTGCCACTGGCATGGCAAGGGATAAAACCTGGTATGTCATCCTTCTGGCACGCAATAAAATATGGCATATGCCAGAAAACACGTGCACAGCGGTTAATAAATAAGTAGAAAATATTGACGCTGCCTCCTTTGTACAAGTTACAAAAATTAATAAAACTGTGATTGTATCAGTTGCATTAATAGCTGCTAATGCTTAAACCCGTACATGGACAAGAGTTACAAGACCTTACTAATTTTCTCAACGAATTACACCCACCGGCATGAACAGCTCGATCAGCAATTAATGCGTAATGGTGCTGCAAAAAGAATGAATTTGAAAACTGTTCCAAGCTCCAAACCACGCCGATTCACGAAGAATATACTGCATCCGCGTTTCGATTTGCAATCATTTGGCATGGACGGTGCACGCTTAATACTGTAATGCAAAAATCCTCATCGCCTAATGGGAACCGGTTGGTGCCCAGACAAAGTACGCTGCAATAATGACGAGTAGTAAAAACTTCTATTTTACCATCGGGCTTATTCCGCACCGTCTGTTGAACTCTGTTCCTTACGCGATGGTACAGGTATAACGCGGGGCCGTATGGGCGCCACGCGCATCCTCGACAGCGAACAGCGGTGAACCCGGATGAGGCTGTGTTGTCGAATCTAATGCGCACCGTGGCGCAGCAACACCAGACTAATAAGGAAGGATTCTGCAGCCAGTGCAACTGTGCTGCAGATCCGTCAATACAGCGCAGCAATGTGCGGGGTGGAAATCCCCAGAAACAGCGAATAGCTACTCAGGAGGGCGGAGCGTCCCGCCCTTACACAGGTCACGATAAAAAGTACAACCACACAAACATTTCCACACAGAGCAGATCAAAATGACGCCGCTCTTAACACAGATGCATAATTAAAAAAATGCAGGTAAATATCCCGGCAATAGGCGCTCACGATAAGACTGTGATTTGATCACTGAAAATCCGAAAAACACCCGTTATTCGGTTATTCTACACCAAACAGACCTGTAAAAAATAAAGTTAACTTTTAGTTGTCATCATCATCATTTAAATTTCGTAATTAGCGGCATAATTTGCATACCAGTATATGCGAATTGCCTTTAAGCTTTAACTATACATGTTCAAATGAGCACTTAAATTTCAATAAATCTTGTATGAATCATTACATGTGCAGGCTTACTACAACCGGCACAAAGTGAAATGGCACTCACCGAAAACAGAAAATATCGACTTAAATCCAACGCTTATTGACTGTCTTTGACTCATATGTTAAACTTGACATGACTGATGATTAAAGGTCTGGGTTATCTGTTGTTTGGAAAACAGAATATTATGCAATGATAAGAACAGTTGCTTGCAAAATGGCAATTGGCACATGTACTTGTATTATGAGTGTGTGCGTATGTCTATGAAATTTGTATTAAAGGCGCTCTTGTTTTGTGCAACGGTGCAGATTCGCAACTGCATCGACCTTCTCTTCCGCCGGACCAAAGTTCAGTGCACATAGAGACACAACATTACATATTTTGGTAGTTACCATTCAGACATCAAACGCTAATCATTTTGAACTTAAAGTTACTG